GGAAAAAAAAAAAAATAAAAAAAAACACTCTCTCTTCCCGTGGGGGGATGAGAGAAAAAAGAACAAAAAACAGGAAAAAAAAAAAAATTATAAAAAATTATAAATATAAAAAACATTGCTCCGGGTGTCGGCTTCTGCCAGTTAGGCTCGGGCCTAACAGGTGGCTGCCCGCCGCCGGGCGGGAGCGGTGCTGGCGGCCGTGACCCGGGGTCACGACCTTGCTCGCCCGTTTGCCTCGCCGCATAGTGCGAGGCTCACTCCCTCCGGGTCAGAGGCGGTTGGTTTTTTGCTTATTCAGGGTGCAAGTGGCCAGGCTTTTCTTTTGACATCTTGTGCACCATCTTGGTTACTTTTCTTGACTTGGGAAGAGCCGGTCCAAGAATGTCTGAAGTGCCGAAAAGAGGAGTGACTCTCTCGGGCTGAAAAAATACTTTGTGTCTAGCAACGCAATTGTAACTGTATCAGGATGGTTTGTGCACCTGCAAACACGGAAAGATGGGTAACAAGGCTTCCAGGCCATGCGGCAGTTTCCAGGCATATCTCTCCTTTAAGGGAAAAAAGGAAATTAACGTGAAATTTAACGAGTCGCAATTTAACGACTTATTCGTGCTGAACATTTGTTTTTACCATTTGTTTTTCTGAACAGAAGATATTGAACAGATATGAAGGGAAAGTAACTGGCATGCATTGGGAAACGATTCCGAAAGTTTTTACCCTTGTTGTAAAAACATTGGGGAAAACTTTAGATGTGTTTTTTTATATTGTTTGTTTGTGAATATTGTACCTTAAATTCGGAATCTAAGCAGGATCGTGAATTCTTATTTCATAGTGAGTCTTATTTTATATGTAGGTAGTCATAAGTGAATTCTATTTTATGCTTAGGCTGATGACTGAACTCAGGTGGAAGGTTTTTACTTTAACATCATCAGGACATGCATGGTACTTTGAAAAACTCTACTGTTTACTCAAGTTTATACATTGTATTTCAAATTATGCAACTGCATTGTCCAATATGATAGCCACTAGCCACATGTGGCAATTTAAATTAATTAAAATAAAAAATTGAGTTCCTCAGTTTTAGCCACATTTCAAGTCCTCAGTAGCCACATGTGACAATGGATCATGTGTTGGACAGCACAGATAAGGAATTATATCATCAGAAAGTCCTATGGGACAGCACTGTTGAAGAATAAAAGATAAACCACCGTTAAAGCATAAACCAATTCCTGCTAATTCCTGTACAGTTAGCTCACCTTATACTCGTGATGGTGTGAAACTCAAGATCATGTTCTTTATCCACTAATCTTTATCAATCGTAATGGCACTTTGTGCTTCCATAAGTTATAGTTGAGGTAATACTTTATTTTTGTTTTGTTCCTAGTCTTAACACTTTTGAAAAAGTTGGAATCGTTTCATACATTAGAAATTTGGTGAGCTTTGAGGAGAGCATCCCATTTTATTCACCATCAGGTTGAAACTAAACAGGATTGTGTTTTCAGGCAGACATAAAGTCCAGTTATACCCTTTGCATTTGTGTGTTTAGGAATTGCAATAATGAAGCAATTGTGATGCTACTCCAGTTTTATATAGTGCCTGTTAATACTCAGTTGTAGTGATGTGTGAAATGTCACCTGTAAACTTGAGGATACGTGGACAAGTTAATGACGTGGCATGGCTCAAAGGGGTTCGAACATTGAGGTTTACCTCTGACTATTAAGTAATTGGCTCATCTGGTCTCTCTTTTGAAAGACTTTGAGAAGTGAGTTTTTTGTCTAAGGGGAATAGCTTTCAGAACTCATCTTATATGTTGATATTTTATTAGCTTTAGATATGATGGTAAAAATAAATTGGAATACAAGTACTGTTTCAACATTTCCCATCTATAGGAGTAGCAGTTATTTTCTTTGGAGGAGAGGAGATCTGGAGAAGTACACAGAAATAAAACTGGAAAGTACTTGACACAGCATTTAGCTCGATCCTCATTATACTTGAGATAGGAAGTAGTAGAATCTACATTTCTATGTTATTTCCATATTCACCTTGTGTTTTGTTTTCTTCTAGCTTTATAAATATGGTCTAATACACAGAAGCTATAAATTCGTAGGAGTTGTTTTCCTTTGTGCACATAAGCATGGGGGGGGGTGTTCTAGATGGCTTAAACATAAAATCAGAGTCAAGCAGTTTGTTTTCGTATCCAATCAATAATCTGAATAAAACAGTGTCCCTCATTTTGTGCCAACACCTAATATGGGGATAAGAAGTTACTGTACTATTTTCTGTCAGTAAGTGAAAGTAATTTTTAATTGTAAATGAAATGGAAAGTGTTTTCTGTTTGTAGTAGAAACATAAACTTTTCCCTAGATTTTTTTCTCATTCAACTGTTTATATAGCGTGAATTTGTAAAACTTACAGGGTTGTATTTAACAGGTGTCACTTTCAAGATTTTTGTCTTTGCATAACATTTTTTAAATTTTATTTTCCAGCCTTATTGAGATATTGGCATGTAAGTTTAAGGTGTACAACATGATCATTTGATATTTGTATATATTGTGAAATGATTACCACAATAAGGCTAGTTAACACCTCTGTTCCCTCACACAATTACCACTTTCTTTGTGTGTGGAGATAACATTTAAATATATATTACAGTATGTAATATTACATACTGTATGACATATGACAGTATGTCACTATGCTATACATTAGACCTCCAGAACTTAACTTGTCTTATAGCTGGAAATTTGTACCTTTTGACAAATTTCATGATTATATTTTATCAGTAGTGATTCATAGTATACCCTAATAGGAAAGGTAGGTGGTATTTGTTTAGATCAGGGATAACATACAACTGGGAAACTAAATGGCAAGTGACTTGAGGCTTTAGTATCTGAAAGACAGTAAGAAGTAGTGGAGATCATGGCAAATAGGACCAGGTGTGTTAGTTGCTGCTCAGCTCTGGGCCACTGTTGCTATGCAGATTGCCTGGTATTTTTAGGACTCCAGTTTGTTTTTTAGGAAGCCAGAATTCTGTATTCTGATGAAAAATATATTGATAAATATTGGCAAGTTGGTAGTTTTCATTGACAAAACTCTAAAGCTCTGATTTTAAAAGGGGGCTAGTAGAGAACCAGTTTACTAGTATAACCGCTACTTTAGATCAGTTTGAGAAAACAAACTACAAAATAAGATTCCTATTAAAAAATAGTTTTGAGTTATAATAGCCCAAATGGTCATAAACTTTAAAAAATTGAGATAATTTGTATAACGTAAAATTCACTCTTTTTAAGTGTAGTTTTTAGTATATTCACAAAGTTGTGTAACCATTACCAGTATTTAATTCCAGAACATTGTTATCACTCCAAAAAGCTATTAACAGTCACTCCTCATTTCCTCTTCCCCCCTTAGGCCCTGAAGCCATTAATCTACTTTCTGTCTCTATGAATTTGCCTATTCTGGATATTTCATATAAATTGAATCATATAATATTTGGTCTTCCGTTAATGATTTATTCCACTTAGCATAATATTTTAAGGTTCACCATGATGTAGCATGAATCAGTTGGTCATAAACTTTTATCTCATGTTTCTAAAAAATAGTTTTTACACTTTTATGTTGTGTTACTGCTGCCTATAGTGTGCATATATATAATCTGTGATGTTTATTTCTATTTTCTGAGTTTGTTTTATAACTGGAGCTAAACTTTGTTTGCAGTAGTGCTAAAGGATAATAGCTTTTATACTTGCATTGTTTTTGTGTAATGTTAATGGTCAGTAGGAAAGGATTCTTGTTATGTTGAAGGGTTTGTTTTTTTAAACAAGGTTGGCATATATCAATTAGTAGATATTGGATGGATGAGAATAATCACTATTTTGGATAGTTAGTAAGTTCTTACTTGATCAAGTATTCACTAAGGGTAGAACATTATTTGACTTTTGGTAGGAAAAAATAGATGATTTTTGAAAAATCTTATCATCGGGGACACAGAATGTATGAAATGCCTGAAAAACACTGATGCCCAGATATTCAAGAACTATTCTTCATTGAGTGGTTCCCTTGGTTTGTGTTGGAGACTGTAGGGGATACAGGGTGCAGTAGTTAACC